TCTCTCTCTCTCTCTCTCTCTCTCTCTCTCTCTCTCTCTCTCTCTCTGTGTGTGTGTGTGTTTTCCTTCCCCCTTTCTCCCTCCCTCCCTCCCTCCCTCCCTCTCTCCTTCCTTCTCCCCTCCCCTTCCCCTCCCCAAACCTCCTCTCAGAACAGAAGAGGGAGAAGTACCAGAGGAGTGAGACAGTCCAGAAGGAAGACAAAGCTACCCCCACTGAGCCAAGAGGATGTCATGGAAATCTTTGCATGGGTAGAAAATTGATACTTGTAATTGAAAAGATTAAAAACAAAAATACCCCAAGACTGAGTGAGCTGTGGAAAGAAACCATGAATATTAAAATTAGAAAACTTGGAGAGTTGGCTCAGTCAGCAAAGTGTTTGCCTTGCAAGCATAAGAACCTAGAATTTGTGGAAAGAAGCTGGCATCACGGCCCTCCTGTCAGGCCAGAGGCAGAGACAGGCCCATCCCTGAACTTTGCTGGCCTGCCCCTGAGACTAACCTAGCTCCAGGCCTAGGAGAGACTGTCTCAGAGAACAAACTGGGGGCTGAGGAAGTAGCTCAGTGGGCGGGTCCTTGCAGCAAATGCAAGGGAACTAGAGTGGGAATCCCCAGCACCCACATAAAAGCCAGGTGGGCATGGCAGCCCATCTGCAATCTTAGGACTCAGGAGGCAGAGACCAAGCTGGCTAGCTGGATTAGCCAAATCATTGAGCTTCGGTTCAAATGTGGGAGAGAAGGGAAAAGGAAAATACAAAGCACCTAGAAAAGGACCAGGGCAGGTAGACATTGGCACCTCACTCCCTCTCTCCCCAGGGGAGCTTCTCCATGGGCTTTCCCAAGCACAGTCAGAGTGTGCAGGGTGCATGCCCATGGCCAGGCTGCCAAAGGAGGGAGGAGAGTGAATGACACAGAGAGCATCAGGAAGGCTCCGGGATACCTGGGGCAGCTCCCAGCTGACCGTAGACAATCCTGCCTTGTTATAAGAGAAGTCCCTGGGAAAGTGGGGATTCTACCTTCAAAGCGTTCCAAGGAACTCCTACCCACAATGGCCTGCGTAACCCCAGGTGCAGCCCAGGAGTCCTGAGAGGAATTCCGGGGGTACTGGCCAGTTTGCAGAGGCTGAGAGTAGGTAGGGCTATCTCTAAAGCTCTAACTATCCTCAGAACAACCCTACGCAGGACGGAACAACCCAGGGCTGTTCTGGGCTTGTCTTCTCTCTCTCTCTCTCTCTCTCTCTCTCTCTCTCTCTCTCTCTCTCTCTCTCTCTGAAATGTTCTTGGCTCACCCTTGGCATTTTCATAGGTCATTTTGGTTTATGGCCAAGTCTGAGGGGTTTCCCTGGAATCATCCACTCTTCCCCTGGTGCGGGAGAATTGTCTCTAATCTGTCAATCATATTTTAAACAAATGCTGATTGGCCACACAGGAAGTATAGGCGGGTAAATCAGAAAGGAAGTAGAGGTGATGCAATGAGAACAGGAGAATTCTGGGAAGCAGGAAGCTTCCTCCACCATTCCTGCCCAGATCACCGAAGAAGCAACATGTGAGCTGACTGTTGGAAAAGGTACTGAGCCACATGGCTAACCCAGGCAAGAATTATGGGTTACTGTAAAATGTAAGAATTAGTTAATAAGAAGACTGAGCTAATGGGCCAATCAGTTTATAATCTTATGGAGTCCTGTGTGTGATTTTTCTTTGGGGCTTGCCGGCTGTGGGGTACTGGGCGGGACAGAAACCCCAACTAGCCAGCCCCTCATGTTAAATTCCCCCATGTCACACTGTTACATCATGATGCCTTCTCTAAGGACCCAAAGGGTACCCTTTCCTGCAACACATGCAGAGACAGAAGTCACACAACCCCATTTATAGGTCTTACAAGTCTTTTCTTTCAGATGCTGCATTCTTCCCAAGATCCCTCACACACCCACAATGCAACATGTCTGCACCCTCATGAGGAATTACCTGTCATGGCAGAACTCAATCCTCATGGCACTGTCGGGAGCTGACACTAACTAGTCCACCCTTCTACTTTTCCCCCACGTGTGCCTGGCACTGCCTGTCAGGAAAACATTTCATATCTGAGCAGAGCCGAGCCTCTCCCTACTCCAGGGTACAAGTCGCAGAGCCTAACACCACTACCCAACTCAAAACCAAACACAGCCCTGAAGGGAAATTCATCAGCCTTGGCCGTGGGCCAGGCAGTTAAACATGGATTCGGATCACAGATCATTTCTGCTAATTAAACAAATATTTTTCCAGCGCGGTCTTGGTTTCCACTGTTGCAGTTGGCCCCAGTTGCTGGCACACGTGGGATCGGAGCCATCCCCTGAACGACTGTGTGGATCAGAGGGCAGCAGACAGGGTTTTGAAGTAGTGGCAAGGCAGGTCTTCAAAGTGGAGACACTGTCCAAACATAAAGGAGGAAAGGGAAGAAAACACTAGCCAGCTCTAATAGTCAGAGTCCTCTCAGCTTAGGGATTTCTGCACACTCACAAGCATGGGCACACACATACAGCACTCTTAGAGAATGCAGTCTTTCTCCCTCCTCCTACAAATCACACACACACACACACACACACATGCACACACACACGCACACACACACGCACGCACACATGCATGCGCACACACAAATAAGCAATCTGGAAGTAGAGTAAATTGTTCCAAATTTGGAGACAAGTGGAGTCTTTGTTTCTGCCCTGAAGGAAATACAGGGCAATCCCAAGAAGTTACTTACAGAATCCAGGAGGTTGTCAGGTCCCAAGATCCCTATGCGATGAGACTCGTCATAGTTCCCCACCTTCCAGAGAATGCTTCGTTCACAAAAGCCCTTTCACTAGACCCTGGGCCCAGGGCAACACCCAGGCACAGCATGTTTTGGATCAAGTTCAAGATGTTTGTGGGTTCCCTGAAGCCTGCCGGGAAACAACCCCAGTCTCCAACCTTAGGAAGACTGCCATGGAGAAGCCAAGGTACCATCAGGCTTGGCTCTGTGAGCAGCACTGTCAGGGCGATGGTTCGGCGTGTCAGAGAAATTATTTCACAAATATGAATGAGGACCACAACTCAAACTCCCATGTAAATAGCCAGGTGTAGTCACTGACCCAACTGTAACTCCAGCAAGGTGGGGACAGGACAGAGACAGGGTAACTAGGGTTGTGTTTAGTTCCAGGTTCAGTGAGAGACCCCGTTTCAAAGGAATAAAGCTGGTATGGATAGATCAGCACACATGATGCCTTCTCTAACCTCTGAGCATGTAAACCCTCACATGTATACAACACACACACACACACACACACACACAGAGAGAGAGAGAGAGAGAGAGAGAGAGAGAGAGAGAGAGAGAGAGAGAGAATAGATTTTCAGGCTCACAAAGTTTATTCTCTTTCATCACTGTAGAATATTACTTAACTGGAAACACTCATCATGCAGAACCCACCCTCCATGCCTCACCTTACCTTTCAAATGGATCTTTTAAGCCTGGGCCTCCCTGTCTTTACCAGAAAATGTTCTGCCTCTCAGTGTCCCCACATGACAGAGCACAACAGCAGCTACCTTGATACCCATGAACAGCCTGCCGTTCTCCTAATGTGATTCTAGCACAAGGGGACAGCTAATGGGGCAAGCAAGAAAGGTCGCAAGCATTAATGATTCAGACAGCATGGACTCCAGGTCACTTGGCCTTTGGGTTTCTGTTGGTACATCTTTGGTGACAAATAGCTCTCAACCCTGTGTTGTGACACCTGATAATTAAGCAATATTTCCTTGGCCTCCTCTGGGCTTTCTCTGCCCACCCAGATGTGAAACTGTGCATTGGAATCCAGAGGTTCCCCCAGTCCACCCTTGTGCCTTCACACTGCACCCAATAAAAAACTTACATCAAAGCAGCTTTGTGCATTACAAGGAACTTGGCGTCTTTCCGGAGGCCCGTTTTCTCTCTAATGACCAGGACTTCCCTTGGAACTCAGCTCCACTAAGTATTTCATCTCCCTAGCATGTCCTGTTTTCTGACCGAGGGAAGCCTGTGGGCACATCAGATCTGAGAGTTGTGGAACAGCTGCCAAACAATGGATCAAAGGCAGTTTCTTCTGAAAGTAGAGACTGTCTTGTTGTGATTCAGGAGCAAAGTCAACCTAACATGTCAGAAGGAACTCCAGGCTTAAAGGGACCTCTCTCTCCCTGAGCTTTTAGGTGGCATAATTCATTGCCCATTTGGCCCATCAAACTGTGGATGTGACAGTTTATAGTATCTTTATTCTTAGAGATGTTCAGAGCTCCTCCTTTCCCCCCATTCCCTCTCTTATCACGCCATACTAAGGAAGAGGATCATAAGACATCCCATTGAATAGTCTGACTTGAAGGAAGACCATCTTGACCTTAGAGCTGTATCCAAGGTCCTGGAAGTCAGGTCCTTTGGAGAAGAAGACTGAGAAGAGTGCCTGCCTGGGGTGTCCCAGAAGACCCAGGGAACATCAGTTCAATGGCATGTCTAACTTTCAGTTTATTGTGGTGACACAGGATCCCACAGCTGGCTCTGGATGCTGCCACCAGGGGCAGGCATATCTGGAAAGGAGGCAGCTCAACTAGATATGGCAGCATACACTTAGAACGCAAGCACTCTGGAGGGAGAAGCATGAGAAGCAGAAGTTCAAAGTCAATCTAAGGTGATAGTTTGGGCCATAAAGTGCTTGCCGTGCAAGGATGCAAACCTAAGTTTGATCCCCAGAACCAACATATAAAATTCAGGCATGAGATGTACTTGAAATCCCAGTACTGGGAAGGCAGAGACAGACAGACATATCTCTGGGGTCACTGACTAGGGTGGGTAAGCACACTACGTTAATTAAACGGCTGTGACTGGTGCAGAGGATGTAGCCAGGGCAGGGAAAATGTTGGACAGTGTGTTTATGGAAAACAGAGTACTATAATACTGAGGACCCACAAGTGCCCCTACCCCCAAGGAGCCATAAAGCCTCCTCCTCCGTAGGATTCTGGCCTACTACTTGGTGAAGCAGCACGTTCAGTGTGAGGGGCAAGGCTTCTATCTGACTGGACCAGGGAAGGAAAGGGCCTCCACATCCTCAGGTTTCCACTGAATTCAGGAAAAGCATGCATCTGTCCTGTGGGTCCACCTGAAAGTCCCTTCTTTGAAGAGAGACCGCATTCTCTCTGGATCTCTGACAGCAATGGTACTGTTCCTGATGGACTCGGTTCAGAGACCTTAGTCCTCTGCTTTAAATTCCAAACAAACCTAGACAGAAAAAACAATCTGGAAGTCGGAAACGGCTCCAAAGTAGTGCTGAATGGAGTTTCAAACACGGATCTCCCTCTCTGGTGGTGGCTGTGATATTTTCAGCATGATTGAAATCATGGTTTATTTTTTTCAGTTTACAGATGATGAAGGCATCCTGTCTGGAGTCTCTATCTTGGGGCTTGGAGAGATGCTGGAGGATGCTCCAGCCAGAGAATGGTGCTTGTTTTCTTGATGACAGGTGAATCATAGACAATACGTCCTATCATTCTCTTCTAGGAATTCATTGTCAAGGAGATCAGGGCTCATAGCCACAACTTGGTGTTACATAAAACATACTTTAAAGAATAAAATAAAAAGATGGGGCTCACGTAACCCAGGTTGACCTCGAACCCACTCTTTACCCTCCTACCTCTCTGTCCCGAGTACTGAGATAGCACGTGTGCCACTATGCCCTAGAAACATTCTAAAGTGTATGAACTTCTCTGCAGATTTGTCTCCACAGAATGCCTCGTCAATTACTCTATAAACTGAAGGTATTATGCTATCAAATATTTTTCCACATTAACCTTTGATGTACCAATTGCTTCTATTTCTGAATTTTTGCCTTTGATCAAATGGTCCGGGTATATTTTTATTCTTCCTCGAATGAATGATGCCTTGAAGAAGATCTACCATTGGGGGGAGATGAGGGTAACCTGGATCGTATAAATATTTAATCAAACTGGACTTTGTGGGAATTTCAAATATGAATGAGGCAATCACGCTCATAACAAAAATCTATTATTATCTGGTCTTGAAGTTAATCCCTCCCCCAAGTCCTCCACATTCTGCTTTCTCTTACCACACACAAGCTGTCTAGAGAGAGAGCCAAGAGTCCTCCAGGGAGGAGGCTGTGAAGCAACAGAACGTCTAAATAAAGTCAAGTCCAGCCTGAGCACCTTGCGTTTCACACATACCCTCCTGCTCTATATAAAGCTCACCTTCGCTGGTTGCTCAGGAAAAAAAATAACCCCAGCCAGGCAGGCAGGCAGACAGGCACTATCAGGAGGCACACACACATAAATAACCCGGCATTTGAGCCAGTTTCTAATTTAACTACAGCCTTTGTCGGGGGTTGGGGAGTGCAAAACATGTTTGAACAATGACACACACCAAAAAAACAAACTTAAGGGGCAACCGTGTGTCTGTGTGTGTTTTCCTTCCTAAGTAAGATGGAATTCAGCACTTTTTCTTTTTGTAAAACTTTGATTCAATTGCTTAAGGCTCTTGTCTGGAGGAGATCTGAGTGACTTTCTCTTGGCCTCTTGGGCTTTAGCTCAGCACTCGGAGGGCAGGAAAAGGCAATGAAGGGAACCTGACGGCAGGATCAGGAAGAAAAGAGTTGATGTTGCTCAAAATTGGAAAGGATGCTCTCAAGAGCATAAAGATTTATGAAGTCCTTACAAGAAGCACCGTCTATTTTGTTTAAATATTTTGCCTATTTTGTTATAGTAACCTCAGGGAACAAAGGACTCAATCAGTGGCCATTGGTTGAAAATAGCAGAAAACTTTGTCATAATCTCAGCCCTCAGAGACCTCACATTATGGTTTCTTGAGGTGAGGGGGCCAAAGTCACCAGCTCATGACCAGTGAGGGTTCAAGGTCTGGGTCTAGCCCTGCTACCAGGTGGATAACATTGGGCAACTCATTACTTCCTAAAGACTTTCTCCGTCTTAAGATGTATTTATTTATTTGTATGTGTGTGTGAGGGTGTGAAGGGGTGTTTGTATCACATGCATGCAGGGTCCAGAGGAGGCCTGCAGATACTTGATCCCCTGAAATTGGAGTTATGAGCAGTTGTCAGCCTCCTGGTATGGGTGCTTGGAACTGAACGCATGTCCTCTGGAAAAAGCCAGTGTTCTTAACCACTGAGCTATCTCTCCAGTCTTAAAGTTTTCGTTTCCTCGTCTGGAACATGGGTGTAAGAGTAGTTCTTGCCTCATAATTATTTAACCTTCACCTATTGTGTGAAAGTTAAACAAAATTCATGAAGGGCCCAATACATAGCATTAGTTCTACTATGTCACATTAGAGCTATTATCTATCATATTATTACTATTGTCTATACAACAACAACCCAAGCAACATGTGGCATGGTAAGTTGGACCATTTTAGATACTTTCTCCATCTGGACATGTGGATTTGCTCCTGTGTTCCTCAGGTCATACCCCCAACACAGTAGGTTCTAGAACAGGAAGCTGTGTTCATTCAAGAGAGGGTGAGGTTACACTGATGGTGCATCCTGGGAATCCCAATAAAAAGGTGACTTCCGGGGATGCCCATAGAAAATGATTCCTTGGAGCCAGTGAAGTGACCCAGTGAGTAAAGGCTTTTGCTACCAACTTTAATGAACTCAGTTAAACCCCTTGAACCCATGTGGTGAAAAATGGCTCCTAAAAACTGTCCTCTGACCTCCAATGAAGCCAAAGCATTGTAAATCTGCAGCAAGTACTCTTTGGTTCATAAATCTGGTAGGCGCTGCTGGCCTTGAGGCAAACTCAGGAGCGGATAAAGATTGTTTGAGTCTGGGGATCAAGTGTTCACAGTCTTCGTGGGGTAGCCAGCTGGTTTTGGAGCCTCCTCCTTTCCTTTAGTCCCACTCATTAAACCATCATTAGAAGCTCAGCTCCCCGGAGAGTTACAGTTGTGCAGGACAAAGTTCCTGGAGCGTAACCCTGCTGACTTCATTTCTTTTCCTGCTGCTGTGATAAAAGGCCTTCAAAAAAGCAACTTTAGGAAGAAAAGGCTGATTCTAGCTCACAGTCTACAGATACAGTCTGTTACGGCAGGAAGTCACGGTGGTGGGAGTCGGAAGAAGCTGGTCATGTGACATCCACAATAAGGAAGTGGAGAGCAATAAATGCTGCTGCTCAGCTCCCTTTCTCTACTTGTACAGTTCGGGATCCCAGCTAGGGAATGGGTCACCCATTGGGGAGGGGACATCTTTCCACTTCAATTAATTCAATCAGAGGGTACCCTACTGCTGTTGGCATGCCCTGAAGCCCATCTCTCAGGTGATTTGAGATTCTGTCAAATTGGTCATTGCAATCAACATTAACCATCACACCCACCTTCCATAGATGAGCCCACTTTTCTTCTTAATGGTTTTATCAAGCAAGGCAGAAATCTATGCTTTATCGGGGAGTTTCAGAAACATGGCTTCACTTCTGCAATGACATCCATATGGAAGGATCCCAGTTATTCTCTTCTGCAGCCACAGAGGCCGGAGGATACATAGAGAGTTGAGGAGACCAGCTCGAAGCAGACTCAGGCTCCAAGTGGTGCTCTGAGGTACCCTCTGAGCAGAGAGGTGAGTGAAACAGTTGTAACCATT